ATTGCGGGGTGTGGACGATTTGGTCACAATTAAGAGGAGTGCAATTCGAGCAATTACAATATTAACGGAGGTTTCCCGCTAGAATAATGGGTCAGAGTACCCTGAATGTGCCCACTATTGAGAGAGAGAAAAAGGAGGGGATTGTTGAACCTATTTTGAAGCAAACTGGAGAACAACATGCAATGTTTTAGATGTCGAAAAGAAGGGCATGTGGCAAGAGAATATAAAATTTATGATTATATGATAAAGATTTCAATGAAGGTAGGGGCGTGCATTATAAAAAAAATAATATAAATATGATACAAAATGACATTGTGCATGATCTCTATCCTAGAGTGTGGATAAATTTTAATGGGTGGTATCCATCTTATTTGATATCGGAGCGGCAATAGCAGTGATGGGATACGATAAATATCAGAATATTTGTCCGGCTGAAATGATAGAAAGAGAAGAAATTAGGATTCAGCAATTTGATGGATCAGAGTTGTCAGTGATGGGAAGGGTAGAGTTAAAAGCGGTAATAAAAGGAAAAGTAGAAATATTGTAATTATGAATTGTCAATATTGGGTCACCCAAATGGGTCCGGAGTATAGCTTTTGGGCGAATTTGCCTGGTGTGTGGTATATTTGTACCTCTTAAGAATGGATATAGATGCGCTAATACGATGATTGGAGGGCAGAAAGATGGCCATGGATTGAAACTATGTTCAGCCGTATTTTGGAAGAAGGAAGGGAGGTTTTTATTAATTCTAAGAGAAAAATTGAGTAGAATTCTAAGAGAGATATCTGGGGATATTTTAGGGAGGAAATATTGGAACTTTTAGGGGGAAATTGAGGAGAATTCTAAGAGAGAAATCCGGTGGACTTTTCGGGGGGAAATAAGGTAGACCTTTATGGGAGTATACGATGAGAATTCTTTAAATGAAATAGAGTTGTTAGAGGAATTGACGGTGGTGACCTAGGAAATGGAACGAAAAGGTGGAGGAAAAGGGCGTATTCGAGAAGTTGAGTTGGAAATGAAAGAGATGGATAGGCGTAACGAAATGGAATTGAGGAATAAATAGATGGAATTGGGAATGATCAAATTGCAAGGAGTGCGTAGATAAGTGGATAATTATCAATTTTCGATGAAGGTTTTGGGGTGTTTAAGGGATTATGAAGTGGATAAAATGAAGGAGGGCTGTGTGCCAAAATTTTGTGGATTACGATGAGTTTCGTTTGAGTGGTGAAAAAAATTGGGAATAATATTGGATCAATGGGTAAAGAAGGGAATTATGTGTCATGTGGAATATAGTGAGTGGTAGTGTTGTTAAACGACTCGTTTTGAGCCGATTTTTAAAAACAGGTAACTTAATATTTCATACAGAAAAATATTACGCAAGCCTGATGAATTTGCTCATAGAAGGAACAAAGGTGTAGACATATATTATCAAAATCTCGAGGCTTAAGCAATATTTGGCTCAAAACTACCCGTTTAACAACAATAGTGAGTGGGCAACACCGCTGGTGCCTGTGAAGAGGTCAACAAAAAACTCAGTTTGTGCGGAGATTTACGGGTCACGCTAAACCCGTGGGTTAGGGAAGTGAAATATCCCTTGCCACGAATTGAAGAGATATTGGCCAGTTTGAAGGGCGGGATATATTTTTCAAAAGTCTTTTTCGAATGCTTATTTAGAGTTATGGATGAAGCCTGAAGTGCGAAGTTATTAACTATTAGGATTGTACGTTTTTTGCAGGCTACTTTTTGGACTTAGCTATGGGCCCCAATTTTTCAACGTACTATGGCAGCCGTTTTAGAAAGAGTCTTTTACTAAATGGACGATGTGTTGGTAACGGGAGTGACTCTTGATCAGCATACACAGAAATTAGAGAAGGTATTCTGAAGAATTAAAGGAAAAGAATTGCGGGTAAGTGCCGAGAAGAGTATGTTGGGAGTAATGGAGGTAGTATCTATGACACAAGATTAATGGGAGAGAGATGAGACCACTGGCTAAAAATATGGCAGGTATACCAGTAAGTTGAGATCGAATAATATAGTAATAATAAAGTAGAGCTGCAGGCCATACTAAAGATGATGAATTATTATCACCGGTTTGTGGAAGGTTTTGCTCAATTAGCGGCACCATTGTATAAACTATTGAAAAAAGGATAACGATTTGAATGGAAAAAGGAACAGGAAGAAGCGTTTGAAGAATTGAAATGTCAGATTGGAAGGGAATGGTATGCTTTAATAACGATCTGGAGGTGGTAATGGCTGTGGCTGCTTCTAATATAGGTGTAGGTGGAGCGTTATTACAGCGTGCAAAAACAACCTATTCAGTGATCGAGCAAGAAGCGTTTGCCATTATTTTTGAAATGGCATAGTGTCGAGAATATCTGATCAGACGTAGATTTGTGATATATACCGATCGCAAACCACTGGCACACCTATTCAAAAAGGATAATAAAGAGTTGATATTGTCACCAAGGTTACAGAGATGGTTATTAATTGTGGGCAGCTAAAATATCGGCAAGGAATAGAAAACTATTTATCCGATATTTTGTCCCATGGAGCTGGAGAAAACTTGGACGAGAAGAAACAAAGGGAAATCGATGAGAAAACTGAGCAGACGTTGATTCATGTAATGGCGGAAATATGTGGAGGTGGACCAGTAACGTGGGAAGAACTCAAAAATGCTACAATAAAAGATCGCGAATTGAGGTTGATTAAAGAGTACATACGAGGTCGAATGCAGTGACGAATAGAGATAAAAAATTTAAACATGTAAAGAAAGAGTTAACGATAGCGGAGGAGTGCGTTATATTAGGAAATCGAGGAGTGGTGCCTTTTAAATTAAGGGAGGAAGTATAGGATTCATCCGGGACATCAAGGAATTGAAAAAGGAGTGGTGGAGTCATGAATATGTGTGATGGCCTGATTAATAAGAAGATTGAAGCAGGAGTTGTTTGATGTGGTTACGAAAATCAAAGTATTGGAAGAGGAAATTTAACAATCTCCGGCAGTTAGGGAGGCGCACCCGAATTTTTTTGTATTAAAGCAGAAACCGAATCAAAAGTTGGAAATGGAGATAAGTGAAACGTCTGAATTTGTAGTGGGACAGACCGTTTGGGCAAGAATGTATGGTAGTACAAAAAAATGGGAAAGCATTGGACACAAATTAAATTGAGTGAAATTCATCTACGGAAGAGAGGGAATATGGCAGGGAGGTGAAACTGGGAATTACGTTCGGGAGTATGAATAGGAGAAATTTATTGATAGGAAATTTTAAAAACGTGGTGGAAAATTTATCTTAATATCGATAAAAATCTAATGGGACAACTAAACCAATGTTCGGATATGGTTTGACTCTACACTTGTGCGACAGACAAAAATAATGAAAAGTGGATCAGTAATTACCAGCTAACAAAGAGAGGATGCTCAAGGTTAATTGCTGTTTGAATTGTTCAAAATACGATGGGCAATAATTATGCCGGGGGTGAGGTTAAAGTGCGACGTGTGGTTTTCGATTAGTGGAAGCATGTCATATATCTATTTTTGGGGAAAATTTAATTTTGTGCATTAATTGTTATTTTTTTTGTTATTTTGTCACTTCATCATTATCAAGGACTAATATATTTTATTTTTATGACTAGAGAAAATTATTAATAAATTTATATTTATTTTTCAAAATGTGTAAGATATAAAAGACATTTAAAAAAAAGGTAAAATGAAAATATTTTTTTTGTTTTGTAAAAAATTAATTATAAATTATTCTGTCGCATACATGAACTTGTTCCTTTTTGAAAATATATCTGTAAGAGAAAATAGTATAAATTAAAATTATCTCAATATTTAAATTGTGTCATCTTTATATATTATTGTAAGCGCAAAGAATTACTAAACTCCTCTTAAATTAGGCCGCAATAGTATAAATAAAAATTATCTCAATATTTAAATTGTGTCATCTTTATATATTATTGTAAGCGCAAAGAATTACTAAACTCCTCTTAAGTTATGCCGCTGCATATTAAAAAAGGGATATCAAAGTCCTCTTAAGTGAGGCGATTAATATAAAAAGATATTATCAAAGTCATCGTATCTGTAAGCGACCTTCGCGCTATAACCTTTTACAGTAAACTCTATCGCACGGAAGTGCTGCCCGTTTTTTGTTACATTTTTAAGGCCTATCGCATACAAGTGCTACCGAAATTTTTTTTACAACTGCTATTTTATAAAATATAAATCAATCTTACATATCCTTCTTCAGACATTTTATTTTGTAACATGATTATTAAAAAATTTATATAAATATTTGTAAAATTTGGGTTTTAAATTCAAATACAAAGTTATTAATGACAATAATATATAAGGAAGAATAATTAGAAAAAATAAATATTCATATTAAATCATTCATGATTTAAATGCATTAACTTGTTAATTGTTGATATAGTTTACGAAATTCTGCCTCATATTTCATAATTGCATTTGTAAATATAAATTAATAATTATTTATTTTTGGAAATCTTGATAATTGAAGCAGGATTATATTCTTTATGAAGAGGTTCAGCAAAATTAAGTATTGTTGAATTGATAGATATGCGAGTGTTGTTTATTTTAATTTTTTGCATTATATATGAAGCTTGAAAACCTTTACTGCTTATGGCATCATCAGAAATAAAACGAATATGCAATTTGTTTGTTATGGAATATATTTTCAAGTCAGTCTGGAAATAAATATATAACGTATACAATATATTATATATTACGTGATTTCCACAATATTTACCCATCACAAAATCATTTTCTCCATCAAAAATTATTATATAATCATAGGAACAATTTTTCTCGCTTTCCAAATCTAATGACTTAAAATTTAGATTTATTCTAAAATTTTGTTATTTAATAAATGTATATAATTATGTATAGAATATTCAACAAATATGAGAGAATATTTAAAAAAAATCTTATTCTTTCTTATAACCACTAAATATAATGAACATATTAGTATTATATTATATTACATGTAGTCTTTTGGAGCCATTATATACCAATCGCATTCTTCTCTATTACCATAATTATTATCGCCATATTTTGAATGTGAAAATAAATATTTTTTATAAGGTTTACTAATTAGATAGCCCCCACATACTATATAAAATGAAAATTTAATAGAAATTTTTAGCTATTCGTTATAAATTTTTTTTTACTCACAAATTAACTTGTCAAAATGAGCATTTAATGGTAAGTGAGTAATTTATATAATTTGATACTATAAATAGAAACCTGTGGAATAAGTTGCCAAAAATCCCTTTCTCTGAACAGATGCATCACTTTCAAATATTATCAACACGTTAGAAGAAGAAGAAATTAAAGAATAAGGATTTTTACTACCACAAAATTTTCCAAGAGATGGAAAGGTAATGTCGGATCCATCGTAAATTTTGATATTGTCATAAGCACAACTCTGATGAGGTTCAACTTCAAAATTTTCAAATTCCTGTAGATAATTTATATTTATGTGAATTATATATAAGGTGCACCACTGTACATGCATTTTATTTGACTATATAAAAGGTAAGATTATGAAATATTTTTTAAATTATTAACAATCAAACACATAATAAAGGTTCATTTAAGCTTGTAAATAGAAATTCAAAACACCTATAGAAAATATCACGTTAGTTACTCACCTATTATTATTCATTTTAGAGAATCAAAAATAACTATAGAGAAATAAAGATCTATAAACAAAATCTTCCTTTTTTAATTTCATTCTTGAAGAAGATAAAAAAATTTGAATATTAAAAAAGTATCGGAAATTTTAATTTGATAAAAGTGGTTATTCTATAATGCTTAAATAAATCGTATGTTTAGAATATAATGAGTTAAGATTATTAAATAATTTTCAATATTAAATCAACCCAAATTGTATTTTAAATCAATTAAAAATATTAGTCTCATGATTATGTAAATAATTGTAAATACTAATTTAATTCTTTGTCCTGATAAACTTGTTATGTTCCAAGAACAAGTTTTTTTCCTTGGATATTGATCTGGCCAGTTTGGACTAATAATTTTTCCAAATGATGAAATAATGTTATATTGACATCCACCTAATATCATATGTTATAAAGATTATAGCTATCGCCAGTTGCGTTAATGAAAGAGGGGATGGTTAGTTGCAACACAATGGGCAATTTTTTTCTCCGAATGCCTGCACATTATTTTAAAAAATTTAACTTGCTTGCCAATTAAAATAAAATTAACTTTTTCTCCCATTTATCTAAAAGTGTCGTTTAACCCGCCAGCCCTATGTTTGACATTTGTTGATTTTATTCATCATTTAATGAAGGCAGAGGATTTGCTTGAGATTATTTAGGTATTCTAACTTTTGCCACCAGAATTTTTTTTAATTTTTAAAATCATTTCATTTTTGAATAAAGCCAAAAAAAAATCAAAAATTCTAGGCCTTAACATCTCATCAAAACAGGATATCCAAATAAATGCTTAAATCGTAAGCAGCAAATATCTATAGCTAAATGTAAATCAAACTAGATCTCTATTCATGATCCTATGCCTACATGGCCTAAAAGATTCATGATACAAATTTTCCAGTAATTCTTTTCTCTCATATAACAAACAGATCAAACAATAAATTATATTACTTATTGGTTTGGTATAAGTTTCAGAATTAGTGTTTATAAAATCTCGGCTAATAGTTTCCATTTTGTTTATGACTCGGTTTCTTTCTTGTGGTTTGCAAAAATTTTAGAGTACAAGTCAGACACCAAATATTAACGAAAGTCAATTATATAGTTCTCCTAAATTTTTATTCTGGCATGATGCAAATTTTACTTATTTTACTAAGAATATTTTTTCCTTTATACTGTTTACCAAACGTCAAATGGATTAAAATAATATATATTTAGCACTAAACATTGATAGAATTTAAAGAATAAATACTTTCAGTCGCCTTCTAGTTCTAAGATTGGCCAAAATTTGTTTCCTAGCTCAGAAAAATTATAGATACGCTCAGAATTAGTCAATTAATTGCTCAGAAATATTCCATTCCTTGTAATATTATTCTAAGAATTTGTATATGGCTAAAAATTTTCAAAAAAAAATGACACCTTCCAGTTCCCATGTACTTCTGATTTCAATAACGAAAGTTAAACTCCCTCCTCCCTTTGCCATTGTCCTTGTCAGTTCCTCTAAATAAAAATTATTGGTTAAAAATGCTTATTTAAAAAAATGAATCTTTTGATTTGTAAATATGGTTTTGGCTAAAAAGAATGGGGTAAATCAAACATCCAGGGTATTATATTTATCGTTTCTCCTAAACTTATTTTGAAAGATATGAAAATTGACCGTAAATAATTAAAATATTTTAAATCCATGAATAAATTAAATTTCCCCCTTTTCATAATTTCATAAGTTATTATTTTCTAGAGTCATTCTTTATGTAAAGATATTGGACTAGCTATTAGAAAAATATTTCACCCCCTCCCCCCCCCTTCCCGGAAGCCAGAATGAAAAATAAAGAGGAAGACCAAATAAAGCTCAAAAAATCCCTGCATTGACTGATCGAATTTTAATATTAAAAGTATTATAATTATATTTATGAACATTAATATAAAATGTTTTACTTTTGATATCTAACTATTATTATGTTATTAAAATTAAAAATTTAAAACCTGCAAGACCTAGAATGATAAATAACATATAAGACAAAAAAGATATTGACTTAAATTTGGCCATGTCATTATAAATCCTATTCGCTAAGATCAATTTACATATTATCTGAGTGATATTTAACATTTACATCGATAAATCTTTAACATAATATTCATGTTTGGAATATTTGAAAATCTGAATGCCCCTCAAGACATAGTGATCAATAAAATTTATAATGCTATCGGTAGATCTTTATATTTATGTTAGAATTTCTTAGCTTCTCCATCGCACCCTGAATAATAGAATTTTAATTTTCCATATATAATCAATAAAAATTTTTCGAAATATTATACTCAAAACTTTTTAATGAGCATTAATGAACTCAATTGATTTCCTCATTAGCTTTAATTTAATAGATGTTGACTAATTGTATTTAAAAAATTAATCTCCCACCCCCCTTAACAAGTACTCTGATGACATTCAGTATCATTGTAATCAATTTATCTCTTCCATGACCTAGACCCGAGAGCATAGATTAATAAAACTTAACAAAACTTAGCAATCTATTTGATTAACTTGAAAATAAAATACTTTAGTAACAAAAATTTCTGAGCGATTTAGCATTTTTTCTGCGAAAATCAATAAAAAAAATTATGAGAAAATCAAAATTTTTACTTTTGCAAAATCGTTTTGATTTTAAGAAGAGTAAAAAAAAAATTGTGAGCGTTTAAATTTTTATTTTGTGCGAAATAATATTTCATTCATTTAATGCAAAAAATAGGTTCCAATGTAGCTAATTTATTTAAATATAAAGAATTTTTTTACCAGTATTGATTTTTTTTTTTTATTGTTTTATTTATTGAATCAGAATTTTAAAAAAAACAAAAATATGTAGAAGAACCTATTATAAATGCTCTTACTGAAATAACACAAAAAAAATACATTTCCTTAGAAGCAGACAGAATATTGTACATAATTAACATTAGAATGTATTAACAAATTATTTAATTACAACACTAATTTATGCATATTTCAAAAAAAATAACATAGATAATTGAGGTTATGAGAATAGCGGAAATTATTAAATTAGAACTTGAGGAAGGCTAATAGTCAAAAGTAGAACTCTTAGTTTACCCCCATTTACAGAAATATTAATGTAGGGTCAGTAGAAGAAAACTCTCTTGAATCTTTATCCTACTCTTGGATACTTTTATAACTCAAGTGAATGAAAAGTTCTTGATTCATCAGACAGCATTTATAAATATGTAAATATAATTAGCACAGATCGAAATCTATTGGTAAGCCCTTATAAATATACGCAGAGATTTGTGACTAAACACTATGAATCATCGAAAAACTCTCTCAATCATAAAGAAGATATAAATTTAAAATATGCTTCTTAATTATATTTTTTCGTGCAATTCCATTTTTAGTGCACCTTATTTTCTTTCATGAATACTTAGTAAGTTTATTTGCATGAAGATTGTTAAGAATATTTTAGTGCATAATTTATATTTCCAATATTTAAATTTTTTAATATAATTGATTTAAGACCGATTGCAATTGGCTCGACCTTTCGTCGTTTAGTAGCTAAAATGATTTCCTCTCGAATAAAGCATGTTGCTTCAAATATACTAAGTCCTTTCCAACTTGGAGTTGGTATACCTGGCGGCTGTGAAGCTGTTGTTCATCTAACGAGAATACACTTAGAAACCCAGCCAACCAACGAATCTTTAGTCAAAATCGACTTCAACAATGCTTATAACACTCTTTCTCGGAATTCCTTTCTGAGCTCATCGAGTATTCTCTTTCCTGGTTACACTAAAATCTTTTATTCATGCTATCAACAGCTTTCCACTCTCCAATTTGATACCTATAAAATTCCTTCGATTGAGGGCATACAACAGGCAGATCCTCTAGGTTCTTTATTTTTCTGTTTAGGGATCAATGAAATTGTTAAATCTATTAACGAGGCATGTTCATTATCATTACATGCATGATACATCGATGATGGAATCCTTTGTGGTCCAAACGACGAAATCAATAAAGCTGTAATGATAATCAAGGATGCAGGGCTATCCATTGGTCTATCAATCAACCATGAAAAATCAGAATTCATTCCAATTAATTCATCTGAAAACAATTTTCATAATTTCAAATAGATTACTCTGGGGGAATTATCTCACTTAGGTGCTCCCGTTGGTGGACACACAGACATATCATCCTTCCTACAATCTACACTCGAAACCCTTAATGAGTTGGCTGACCTATTTTCCCTTCTCCCCTCTCATAAAGCCTTTTTTCTCCTGAAAAATTTCTTCAATATCCCAAAAATTCTTTACGCGCTCCGCTCTACCCCTATTTTTAAATTTCCCACTTCCTTAGGCATTTATGAAAATGGGATTAAAGTCCTAATTGAAAGTATCCTTAATCTAAAATTCCATGAATTAGCGTGGACACAAGCCACCCTTCCTACCAAGATGGGAGGACTAGGCATCAGATCCCCTTCCGATCTTGCCTTAACTGCCTTTATATCGAGCTGTCTTTTAACCAAAAATTTAGTCAATCCTAATTCCTTAAATTCTGACCCTTCCTTTGATAGTGCCATCATTGAATGGAAATCTCGATTCATTGCCGACCACCCAATTCCAGAAACGAACAAGCAGAAGGACTGGGATAAGCCCATTATTGCAAGTTGCGTCGAATCTCTCCTTTCCAGTATGCAATCATTGGACCGTCCCTTATTCTCCTCTCTGCTTAATGGTTCTGGACATGAGTTTCTCGAAGCCATTCAATCCGCGAACTTACAATTACAACTGACCCAAAATAAGCTAACTCATGCTATAGGCATTCGTTTAAATTGCTTAGTAACCCAACCCCACATCTGTGCCGGCTGCAGTTCTGCTGTTTTGAGTAATGGAAGGCATAGTCTACATTGTCGTTCATGTAAAGGCCGCATCGTTAGACATAACATTTGCAATTCTATAATTCTTAGAACTCTGAGATCAGCTCAAATTCCTTCTATTCTCGAACCCTCTGGTCTTTTCAGATCTGATGGGAAACGCCCTGACGGGATCTCTCAAATTCCCTGGAAGCGAGGTCAATTCTTGGTCTGGGATTACTCTTGTATTGATCCTTTGGCTCCTTCCAATCAATCCCTTAACATTCTGGAGAACAAGGAGCTTCTAAAAATTGCAAAATATTCAGAGATATCCCAGGATCACTTATTCATTCCCATCATTTCCACTACCTTGACTACCTTTGGGAATCGTGCTCTTTCTTTCTTCAAGGAACTTGGATCGCTAATCCGCAAACTAACAGATGAACCTCGTGAAGGCTTCTTCTTAAGACAAAGACTCGCAATAGCAATTCACAGGGCCAATTACATCAGCTTCATCTCACATGATGATTAGAATATATATTATATAATTTTAATCGCGTAATGAATAATTTATTTATATAATAACTTTTCAATGTTCATTTTTATATTATTAAACATTAATATAGTTCATTTTAAATCTATATAGCAAATTTTAATGCGCAAAAAATTTCTATAATTTAACAAATTTCTTTTCCGGGACATTATTTTATACGGATTCATACTTCGGTTATATACTTTTAAAAAATTTATAGTCACTTATATTCATAAGTTTTTTGAAACTTGTACCCCTATTTTAGAAAGTCTAACGACGATCTTGTATTTTAATATAAAAATGATAAAACTAGAATTAAATTAACAGAAATTTGTTAATATTTTAAACTGCCGGCAACAAGCAAGAAATTTTAAGATATATAAACGTTTGGACCTTCTTTTTTAAAATACCGGTCCGGATCAGTGTTTAGGCTTCCACGGAAAAAAACATTATCGCGGAATTCGTTAATTATATTAAGGTGATATGTATTAAAAAATTACTTATATTACTATTTACCTTCTTTACAATCATGTCCATTATCGTGAAGAATATAATTTTCATAACATATACATTGATACGATCCTGGTAAATTTCTGCATAAATGTTGACATCCACCATTGTTAATTGCACATTCATCTTTATCTTGGGCAAAATAGAGACAAAAATTTTTATAGTTTAATATACCTCTATAAAAAATAGCGGCAAATCCACTTTTCTGAACGGAGTTATCAGACATAAATTTAATTATCAAAACATTATGCTCCGAGGTAATTAAGGCAGGTAGAGTTGAGCCACACAATGTGGCATGTAAAAAAGAATAATCATCTTGCTGAATATTTCCACTCCTGATCTCTATATTATCGTATTCGCAATCTTCCTGTAAAATTTTTATTGAAATGTTATATTTAATAAATCAAATCAACGTGGTATAGTAGAGTAATGGCAATCCTATGGGGGAGTGGTCATTGGTTAATATTTTTTAAAAAATAAACTCACGCAAAGCTTTAATATTAATGTTTTACGTTGATTTCATCTTTATGAAAAATATTAATTATGCACCATATTGTTTTATACTTTAGAAAAAATCTATTAACCAAATAGACTTTTGTAATTTTATTTTTGAGCATTTACAACCTCATTTTATTAATGTGTTATCGAAAAGTAAAAATATAATTAACCGAATAGACCTTTGTATTTAATTTTCGAACATTACAACCTCATTTTTAATACCTTACTTTTTGAAAATTAACTAATAACCTTTGAATAAAAAAAATTTGTGATTTAATTTTGAAAATTTTTTATTCATGAAAATTACAAGATTATAAAAGATTTTTTGCAAAAGGTTTAGAATTTATAGGTAAAATCAAAATTTTTTATGATTTTGCTCAAATTTTTTTTGAAGATTTTGTTCAAACTTTGGTTCTCATTAATTACATTATTTCCCTCTAAGTCAAAATGTGTAAAATTAATGGTTATTTTATAGCCTTCAGGAGCTAACAATTGCCACACACATATTTTATTAGGCGGATAAAGTTCTGGAAAAGAGGGACTTGTTAAGGTGCCGTTTGTTTCTTCAATGTAACCCCCACAAGCCTCTAGAAATAAATATAAAGATTTAGTTAATATAATAATATTTAAAAAATGGTTATTATTAATTTAACCGGTCTGAAAATGGCCATACTGAAAATTACAATTGAAAAAAAAATAACTATTAAAATATGTCACCTATTACGGTTAGAATCTTGAAAGGGGCAGTTTTTTGCTAAAAATCAAACAAAAACGTTTTTTTAACCGATCAAATTATGGTCTTAATCAATTTGTATTTTTCAATATGGATATTTTTACACCAGTCATGGTTTCTTAGATATTTCTTTTATAACAACAACGAAATTAAGATATTATGTTCGAGTTCACCTTCACATGTTTTTTTATCCGCACGTAGCTCATATCCTATTTTGCATTCACATTTATAGCTTCCTAATGTATTCTTGCAAATTTGATGACATCCGTGGTCATTTTGTAAGCATTCATCATATTCTTAAAATTTTAATAAAATGAAAATTGAGTTATATATGTCGTAATTTTAAAGGGAACAGAACTATCCGGGATCATCGCGGGTTTTAAAGAGATCCCTTTAAGAATTCAATTTTTTAAAGGAAAACGGTATTATCACGTTTGAATCATAATAAGGAAAAATCTTAATTTAGAAGGAATTTTAAGCGCGTTTTGCTTTATTTTTTTTTAAATTTTATTGTTATTTATTTATTTTCAAAGTTTTTTGGGGAGCTTATGAAAGTAGATGGGTCGAATATAGAGTATCAATCGATAGCTAATCAAAGATCTATTCAACTAGAGATCGACATTTCCTCATTAATGGGCGAGTCTAGGTCTGGGAGGTCAGGAATATTTTTATAAACACAAAATATCGAAATGGGCATATAAAAGCTAATTTAAATATCTTACTGAAAGCATTTAATATTGGTTTTGATGGGTAGGACAGGGTTTAGGGGTGGTGGAGGAGGGATATGGTAAAAATAAAAGATATTGATATGGGTATCAAATAAAAGGTAATTAAAATATTTTTTTCATTGTAATAATAATCAAGTGGTCAGGTCTATGACCTGGATAGGTCAGGAATATTTTTCAACATAAAATATCGATATGGTATATCAAATAATCGCTAATTTAAAGATCTTTTGACTGAAAGTATTCATTAAAGGTCTTGATGGGTAGGGCTTGGTCTAGGGGTTGGGATAAAAGATATTGATATGGGTATCAAATAAAAGGTAATTAAAATATTTTTCTATTGTAATAATAATAATAATCACTCAAAGTGGGCGGGTCTGGAACCTGGCGGGGTCAGGAATATTTTTCAACATAAAATATCGATATGAGTATCAAATAAAAGCAAATTTAAATATCTTTTGCTTAAGTATTTATTCTTGGTCTTGATTGGGTATGACTTGGTCCCTGGGATGGATGGAAGGAGGTGGGGGTAAAAAATAATTTATTTTGATATGGGCGACAAATAAAAGGTAATTAAAATATTTTTTTATTGTAATAATAATAATCACTCATAGCGAGAGGGTCTAGGTCTTGGAGGGTCAGGAATATTTTTATCAACACAAAATATCAAATTGGTATCAAATAAAAGCTAATTTAAATATCTTTTGATTGAAAGTATTTATTATTGGTCTTGATGGGTAGGACTAGGGTATGAATAGAGGAGGGGGTGGGAGGTTACAAAAATTTTTTTTTATGTGTATCAAATAAAAGGTAATTAAAATATTTTTTTATTAAAAGTGGGTGAACACAAAATATCGATATTGGCACCAAATAAAAGAATTTAAATATCTTTTGACTGAAAGTATTTTCTTGGTTTTGATGTGTAGACCTTGGCCTAAGGGGGGGGGGGGTTAAAAATAATTTTTTTTTGATATGGGTATCAAATAAAAGGTAATTAAAATCATTTAATATTAATAATAATTACTCTAAGTGGTCCGGTATAGGTCATGGGGGGGGGGGGTCAGGAATATTTCTATAAACATAAAATAACAATATGGGTATCAACTAAAAGGTTTAAAAATATATTTTGTTTGTATTAATATTGTCACTCAACGTGGGCGAGTCTAGACCCTGGAGGGGTCAGGAATATTTTTATCAACATAAAATATAGATATGGGTATCAAATAAAACGAATTTAAATATCTTTTGACTGAAAACATTTATTTTTGCTCTTGATGGGTAGGACTTGGTCTAGGGGGGTGAGGGGGTAAAAAATAAAAATATTGATATGAGTATCAAATAAAAGGTAATCAAAATATCTTTTGATTATTAATAATTATCATTCTAAATGGGCGGGTCTAGTCTTAAGGGGTCAGGATTATTTTTCAACACAAAATAACGATATGGATATCAAATAAAAGGTAATTAAAACATCTCTTGATTGTAATAATTATACTCTAAGTAGGCATTCTTTACCAAGTTCATCATATAATGTCAATGAATTGATACTTTATTCTTTTTAATGAATATTTTACTAACTCCATCATACTAATTTAACTCTTCATTTTTATATATTTTTTATTTTAAACCAGATTTCACCACAGTTTCTAATCCGACTTGCACAAATACTTTATATCTGCTTTATAACCATAATAGTACTACTGAACCTGAGGCCATAGTGATTGCTCATAAAATAAAAATTGGGAATTCTTACGATTCATATTACAATATTAAATATATTCTTTCGGAGAGGAGGAAATATAAAATAGGACACATTAATATGCCAAGATAAAAATCCATAAACTCAATAGGAATTAGCATGGAATTTTCTTTAGCTAGACTGCCTTCGTTTATTGCCTATTTAATAAATAGTAATAAGAGAGACAATACAAAAGTAAAATTATTCATTGGGAATCATAGACCAAATCTATGCCCTAAAATATTGAAGCTAAAATTATCCAAGGGGCGAGAAACTATGGGTTGGAACTAAATTTGGGAAAAATTGATTCCCCATTTTTAAAAACGAACTTTCACAAATCAATAAAATTTATCAATTTTTAATAAGCCCATCTCCATAATAACAGCATCAAGAAGTGCATCTTCTTATGGTAATTGTAAATCAATTTGCAATTTCCAAAAAAGTTGCAACAATAAGAGATGCCAATTTTTTAAAAATGGCATTAATTATAGTTACAAAATGTCACTTAAATATTATTTGTATAAATAATAAATAATTGTTCAAAATTAAATTTTAAATTTCTATTATCAAAATCAAATAAAATATGTGTTGATAATATATCTTGAAAAAAATATAATAATAGGAATGATTTGCTTGTAATGTAATAATTTATACTGGAATAATTTTAAAAAATTTATAATGTCATTGTAAAATTTGAAATCGATTTCATATATAGCCTCCAGAAATTTTGAGATTTAAAAATATTACATATTAGATTAAGTTGCAAGAAAATAATTTTATCATAAGGTTACAATAAATTTTTAAAAAGCATTGACTATATTATGTTCCCTGCTTATAGTTATATTTAATATTGAAGTCTAAATATGTTTTATTTAATTTTTATTTGATACCCATTTCGATATTTTATGATGAAAAATATTCCTAACCCCTTTAAGTCATAGATGAGCCCACTTTGAGTGATTATTATTACAATAAAAAAATATTTTAATTACCTTTTATTTGATACCCATATCAATATCTTTTCTATTTTACCACTTCCCCCCCCCTGCCACTTTCAAGACCAGTGTTGATAAAAATATTCCTGACCTCCCAAGACCTAGACCCTCCCGTTATGAGTGATTATTATTATTACAATAAAAAAATATTATAATTACCTTTTATTTGATACCCATATCAAAAAAAAATTATTTTAATCTTCCCTCCCCCCTCCATCTTCCCCCACACCAAATCATACCTATCAAGACCAAGAATGAATACTTTCAGTCAAGAGATATTTAAATTATTTGTTACCCATATAGATATTTTATTTTGATAAAAAATTCCTGACCCCCTCAGACCTACACTTGCCCATTAAGGAGTAGAGATTGACCTTCAGTTGAATATATCTTTTGATTAGCTATCGATTGATACCCTATATTAGACATATCTTATTTCATAAGGCCAAAAAAACCACATTCAATTAATAAATAACAATAAAATTTAAAAGAAATAAAACGAAAAGCGCGTAAAACGTTTTTAAAAACAAGATCTCTCTATATCACGATTAAAACGTTATAATACCGTATTATCATTCCTTAACTTAAAACCATAATTTTTTAGTTATCCCCCGTGATGATCCCGGATAGTTCTGATCCCTTTAAAAATTACGACATATATAATATAATTGGTCAGGTAATTTTAAAATCAGTTTTATTTGGGATAGGCGAATTTTTATTTATTTATTTAACAATCCATACCGAATGTAAATTGTTTTAGAGGGAAATTGAAAATATGAGTTTGAGTAGAATTATATTTTCCACTGATTAATTGATATACAATTTTAATTTATTTTTTAAAATATTGGTCCGGCTTGTATTTTTTTTACGAATTTTTAAAATCATATTATTTCCGCTTTGGTCGGGCCTCTGATATTAAGAAATTTTTATATTTTTTAAACCTTTTACAAAATTTAGAGAGAACCCAGCTTTTTGGACAGAAGCATCGGATTTAAAATGAATATACATATAATTAGCATTAGATGTTAAATTAGGAGGTAATTTGTATCCACAAAATCTTCCAATTAGAGGAGCTTCATTAGTTTTTCCACCTCTTACTTCCAAATAATCGTATACGCAGTTATCATGATTTTCAATCTACATATTTTATATTAATTGGTATAGTATTTTAGGTGATACTTCAAATGTCTGAAAAGTAATAGCCACTTGATATCCTTCTTCAACTGTTAATATCCAAATGCAATCTTTATTTGGAAAATAATCATCTGGAAAATTGGGGCTTCTTAAGTAACCAAAGTCTGACCTAATATCCCCTCCGCAGAATACTATTTTGAAAAGTTAAAATAAAGAATGGAATGGAATGCAATTATATTTCTTAAAGTAATTTTTATATAAAATTGTTTACTTGCCTTTTATTTCGTTCGTTCGCTTTTTTCTTTCTTTTCTCTCTTTCCTTCTTTCTTTCTTTCCTTCTTTCTGTTTTTCTTTCTATTTTTAAATCTAATTAAGTAAAAGTGTTTAACAAATTAGAAAATTTTTCAATCATAAAGTTATATCAAAAAATATTTTTTTCATAAATTTACAAATGCCGTTCTGGAAAAAAAAAATCTAAAAATATTTATTACTTTCATAATTTGCAAGAAATCCCAAATTTTCTTGATTTGGAGAGTTTGATTTATATTCAACCCACAAATTATTACTTGATGATGTAATAATTAATGGCAATTTTATAAATCCACAATACACACCTAAATAAATAAAAATGTTAATATTAGATAAAAATGATTTCAAAAAAGTCTAAACCATATAATTTTGAGAGAATAAAATACCCATCTCTAATAATCACATATTCGTTTTCACAATTTTTATTATCGGGTATATCGAATTCCGTTATGTTTAGAGAAATATATTCGCCGTAAGTCCCAGAGATTCGCCATCGACATATAAAATCGCTCATACCATTTAATGTATTGATTAAATTTGTATTGACAGGAGATTGAATAACACCCTTTGGGCGAAGTAAAGTTGAACCACACTCTTTTATTGATTCATTTAAAATGTTAAAATCATTTAAAACAATTACTTGGACAGCTATACAATTTATTGGCTTGTCGGATATCACCTTCGCTCAGATGTATCCTCTGTCCGATTTCAGGCCTTTTTCCATCTTTTCCTGGAAACCTAGGCAATATTGTGTCTAAGTAAGTGCTTTTGGAAAAAGTGTTACGAGCATAATGCATAATACTGCCAAAATCATATGGCTCTCCCAGACTATTAACTTCAGAACTTTGCTTTTCTTTAAAATTATACTCCTGCCCTAAAATAAAATTTTATTAATTATTATATGATATAATCATACCTGCTAAGATATTTTCATAGTTTATTTGAACGTTATCATTTCTATCTGGCCTAGTATGTTCATGCCAAAATCCGATTACATGACCAATTTCGTGTACTACAATCCCAAATTTATCACAATTTTTTCCTATGGAGAGAGCTTGACTGCCTTTTCCTCGTTTACCTACAAATGAACAGCATCTTATGGTAAAAGAAAAATTATAATACTCAATAAATTAAAAAATTATACAAGAACCAAAAATATAAATATCTAAAAAAGTAAAAAATTTCTTACATATGGATAGTGAAGGTTTTCGGGGGCCTGTCAAACTCGGTCTTTGAGTTTCAGTTTAATTTACAGGGTGCAGAATGGTCTCAACTACATATATTTTAATCTTACACTATATTTATAATTATGTCCTCTCATAATATTAATATTTATTTGATAACATTATATTTATATATATTATTAGATAATGGTAAAATCGAAAATAAATTAGGTTGAACTTAGTTTTAATATTAAAAACAGGCATTCAACAGCAAAATTTAGTCTAACATAAAGTTTGGCCTTGTTCTAGATTAATTTATAGAACGGCGGTCTAAATAAGTCTTTTGCTCCCTAGACCATTTTATAGTTAACAGAGCTTGCCAAAAAAGTTATGACCTGAATCAATTATCATAGAAGATTAAAAATGAAGCAATCTGCAACCAACCCTAAAAACCTCAAAAATTATTTAGAACCAGCTCTTAAGCATTATCAATTGCTCAATAATGGCGCTAAAAACGGAATTTTTAAAAGGTTATAATTTGAATCTGAACAATATCTTGCACTCTTTTTTTTAATAATAAAATTAATTATTTATTCATAAATTTTTTATATAAATTTGTAACATTGTTTTGGGATTTTAATTATGATGGTAATCAACGAAATATATGATATTATTAAATAAAAGATTCTGGAATAATGAGCATATGTGACACAAATCTATTCATTTTAACTAAAAATATTGTGAAATTAGTGATTTCCAAATAATTACCCACAAGGCCTCTCTGTAAAAACAAACCAATCATCATGAATGCTCTCATTACGCTCTATAAATGTTATACATGTGTAATTTTCCCAATGTCTCATGGCTTGTATAAATAAAGCCTTGTGAATGCCTAACAAAATTGTTGGTTTGCATCTTTAAATATAAAAATTACCATCAAATATGGGATCGATTTCATAAGGAATTACAGCATAATCCCACACTCTGTTCTTAATAGCAGTAACTGCTCTTTTATATCGGGAGGCTATATTTCTTTGAAATATTTTTTTATTAATAATTTTAAAACATTGTTAATTATTTATTAAAACATCGATTTTTACCTAAAACGAATTATTCGTTAATTGATTGGTATTTTACATACGAATAATGAAAAAATTATTAGGCGATTAATAATTTTTTAAATTATGTGTAAAATTATTGGAAAACTATTTATAATTAGTTGTAAGTACTTGAAAGTATTTGCAAGTATATCCAACATTTTCCAAATTATTTTGAAATTTATTTCCCCATAATTTTCAAATTTAATAATTCACTTTTGAAAAATTTTTAAAAAATTTAATTTTCGAATCAAATATTCAACGAATTGAATAATGGTTTATTTTTCGCAGGAACATGAACAAGGAATTATTTGATTCACATGATTACGAATAATACTAATAACGAATAATGTTATTACATTCGTTTTTGTTGGTCTAGGTTATATGGATTTATAATTAATAATTGATATATAAAGATTATGATATTCATAAAAAAATTTAAGAGAAACAGAATTGTTTATATTTTAACGTTAATAAATTATGTATTATACTTGTTAATGTGGTCATATAATTGTTTATGTCTGTAATGTCTTAAATTCTTAAATCCAGTTTGTTTATCTCTATATAAATCATTTTTTAAACAGCTTTTAAATAATTGTTTATGTTTCCTCAATTCGCTATAATTTTGGATATTAAACATATCGAATGCTTCTTCTTCAGTGAGTATAATATCACCTATTAGCGCGCCTATTTTTCATAAAAAATTATAAATATAAAATTAACATAATAAAATTATGACAAAACTGTTGTTTAATTTCAGAATTAATTGATTAGATCTAACAATGTTACTCAACTAAGGAACCAAATTTCCTCTATATCTGCACTTCAATAAATTGTTTGCTAACGTAGTTTATGTAAAATGATTGCTAAGTTAACAAATTCATCTGATGATAAAATTATAAGCTAAATCTTGAAAATTCTAAATTTTAAGAATTCATACACTTCAATACTTTTGCTTTTATAGAGACAGGGGTTTAGCCAAGTTTTTTTCATAAACAATTGAAAAAATATTTTTTAATAGTTTTTTAAAATATCAATTTGTGGGTATATATATAATCTTAAAGATGATATTGAGATAATATTTCTATCAATAATTATAAAATAAAAAGTTTGTGTAAAGGTTGAATTTGTGCCCAGTCAAATCAAAAATAGCCTTCATATATTTAACTGAATAGGGATCTAGCTAGAAATTTACTTATGGGGTGGGGATTTTATTCTTAAAAATATATTTAAAATGTTTTTTATCTTGTAGTGATTGTTTAACATGTATAAATAATACGAAAAAAACTAAATATGCAAAATTAATGTTGCATATAAATATTACTATAAAATGTAAAATCATATATAGGTCGTGTAAACCATGGAAAAATAATTATGTATACCAGAGAGATAAGAATAAATTAAAAATAATATAGCATTCCACATTATAATTAGTGTGGACAAATTGTTTCATTTCTGGTTGTTTCTAAAAATATGGTTAAAGAGATTTTTGCCAGATATCACCCTATAAAGGTCTTAGCCTAAAAAATGGCTCAACTTTGAGATAAACCGAAAAAAACTCGGCCATTATCTCTTTAATTTTTTTTGACAAGCGCTCCAATATTGAACTGAATTAATTTATTTTAGAATACTGATGAAAAAGCAATAAACAATCTAATTACAAAAAAAAGAAGGAACAACATATACGAATAATATTCTTGCTAATCTACATATTCTGATTGTTATTTATCAATTAAAATTTAATCTCATTTGCGACTGAGTCTATTTTCAATAATACTCTCTCTATTCAAGACAAATCTCTTTATGTATTTAAAAAAACTAATCCATTTAATCTTTACAAACTTTCAAGATAAATTTTTTCCCCCGTTAATGGTGATGAAAAAGTTCTGGCATAATTTTATTATTTAGGGAAAAAATAGAAAATATATTTATATATAGCTATTTCTTAAAAATTTTCTATTAACATTAATCTTTTATACCATAATTTAAAATCTACAAGTATAATACATCCATCCTCAGATATCTTCAAATCCTCCTCATGGTTTATACCGAACTTAAATTTTCCATTATTTTAGAAAATGTGTCAATTATGATCAAGTTAATGATATACATTTTATTTGTTATAATAGGGGCTATACGGCAGTTGGGTAAAAAAGCAAATGTATATAACTTTTTTATTGTGGGGGATTTTTATACTTACTATTTATCATTTGTTCATTTTAGCAGTGGGAGCTTCGCATTTTTAAAATATTGATCGAAAGCAATTTTTAGCCCTTTTCACTGACTTTTATATTTTTTATTTCTTGTTCTGAGGCAAAAGTACCTTTTTGAGTTTTATGGATTTATAGGATATATTTCTCAATATCTAAGTTACTGAATAAACTTAACCCGGAGTTTCAAGCTTGTTTAAAATAATTGTTAATCAATTTAATCTAGCTCAATACCCTTGGGTACGATGGGAAATTTATGAAACAAGAATTCTACAGGGCAACGATCCCACAATATAATTAAAGTAGGTTATCTGTCTATGAAATCTACCAAAAAACCCTAATATCTTTTTCTATTACATTTGTAATGATCGTTCTAGATTGAATCCTTAATGATATCCAAAACGTTGATTTAAATCTCTGATCAGCTGATGAGAACATAGTCGACTAAGTATCTAATCATGATAGAGTGGAAGGGAGAAAAAACCTTAAATTTATTCCGAAAATATAATATATTTTTTTAGAAAATCAATAAAATAAAAAAATTATTGGAAAATTTATTACTGAAAAAAATTTCCCAAGCAAACAATAAAAAGTAATGGTAAATTTAATCTAATTCTTAAAATATTTTTGATTAACCCGAAACCATACAAGGTGCAACCGAACCCAGTCCCTGTGAAAATTAAGCAAAATAAGTGTTATAAAATAAACGAATTATTAATTATATCAGTGTTGTAATTTTAAATTATTTACATTAATTGTTTTATATATATCTGTCTTTTCATTGTCGGTTAAAAACTTAAGACGAAGTTTAGATTTAGAATTAGCCTATCTTATGTAGTGGCTGCATAATAAATTTTTCTTTTAAAAGAGATATTGTCCTATTTCTTAAGGTTTTTTATTATTACCGCATCACTTTCTGAAGGTAGACAAAATTTCATTAATTTTTGTTTCCATAAATAATATTTATAGTGGGATGAAAAGTCTGGTATATTTCATTTATATTAATGGTCGCTAATCTATTTAATTCTTGTTGTTAAGCAGGTAAGCTTGAACTTCATCATATGATTTTAAGAAACATTGTATCATGATTTATACATAGTTCCATAGCTTTATCATATCTTGCTGTTTGCTGCAAATTGCTTAAAATATTGCACCATCTTTTTATGCCATTTATACTTAAAGCTATTTCAGGTAAGCATTTATTAAAAGTATAATGCATTATGTTAATTAATATATGGCATGAACTTGGTATCCTTGTCATCCTTGAATGCACTTATATTCATTATTTTAAACAGCATGTATAGGCAAAATTGCATCAATTATCTTTTAGATTTCCAAGTAAATATGAGAAAATTTAAACAATAAGTTATATAGATGTTTAATTTTCCTTTTAATTTTGACACATTATAATTCGAGTGCAAATGATTAGTATATATTAAAGATAAATGAAAATATAACATATTTATAAAAAATTTATTACCAAATTTCAATACTGAACGAGAGTTAAGACTTTAAATTATTTTTCATTCAATTGAAATTTTATAAGATGGGGAAAAAATGTTGCTTTATAAAATGCCTATTTTTTTCAAAAAGTACTCCTTTTTTAAAAAGATTTAAATTAAACTAGAAAATTTATAATTATAAAATTATTTATATTCATTTTAAAAAGTAAAATTTTCTAGCATAAATTTTGGGAAGGCCCGTAACGCTCAGTCAGCCATAATTTAAAATTTATTCACAATCATGCCGTTACTCATCTTGTCCCGCGTAATTTCACGACCCTCACCCACCTCTATTATCATTCATTTGGTAGATTCCTTTCAGTATTTAACCATATAGATAATATTTTGCTCTATTAATAAAAATTTGAAATCGAAATTCAATATTCATTATTTGTATAATAAAATGAGAATAGAATTTAAAAAACATAAGTATATTTCGGGCCGGATTTAAATTTTTATGATATCATTCATTACATTTTGTCAAATAAATTGATATATTTTAATATTCTATTCTTGCAAGAAACAAGGCGCTAAGATTGTTATGTGGAATTTTTTTTTGGAATAAAAAAATATTAAAATTTTCTATATTTTAATCAATTCGGGCGGATAATTTTTATTAATAAACGAACGATACATAAGCATAGCCAGAATTTTGTCAAGGAAGGGGGTAGCCATATAAATTTTATTGGAAGTCTTTAGGTTCACATATTATAGGCCCTTAGCTGTGTTATATTTTTATAAAAATATTTTGATTCAAGCTCGATGAGTTGAACCTATTTTTTAGTTCGTTCTCCAGAGCTCGATTTTTTGCCTATAAATTCGGCTAAGCCGTTTTGGAGTTGATTGAGGAGCGAATTTGCATCACTGTCAGAAACAACAATGTACGTGAAGGGTGGAATAGCCATTTTCAATCTATTGTATGGAATGGAGAGCCAAATTTAGGGAAACTGTTATTCTTCAAAAACTATAAATAAAACTATCAGAATACGACGGCATATTGCATATTTCATGTAATAATGTAAAATTAAATATTTTATATATATTGTTCCAAAATTTTTATTCAATTAAACTTAAAAATATTTACAACCTTTAAACAAATTATAACTATATTTAGAAGGATTTTTGTCCCTTTTTTTTTATTTTCAGGGAATTTTTGTCCTAGATAATATATCGGGGAGTCCCTGATCCAATCCAGACCCTGCTTAAAGTACTTTTCCCTAATCTCAAATTTTAAAATGTTTGAAACCTTGATTTAGGGAATATTTAAATTTGATTATATTATTATTCGAAAGTAAAAAATAAAATCAAAACTTGTATATATGTTAACGTCAATGTGTTTTTTCCGGAAATGTTATTTTTTCAACTTTAAATCATTTTTTGAGCGCTTTTTTTTAAAGTAAACTTGATTTTACGGGAAATGTATTCCATCATGTTTGGAATACCTATCCCATGAATTTCAGACAATTTTTCTATGAATTTTTAAACTTAATATAATTTATTCCGTATATTTTTTATATAAATTAATGACTCAAAGGTTAACAACATAATTGTCCAATATTTTAGGTAAAATCCGATTTTTAAGTTTAAAAAAACGCGTCAAAGAATGATTTAAAGTTGTAAAAATAACACATTGGCGCCAACATATACACTATCACTTACCACCTTTACAAGGATCCATGTGAGAATCATTGGATATTTTGTACGAAAAATTGTTAGCCAGTAGGTCTTTTATTGAGAATTTGTGCACATTATTTGCCGGAAAATTTCTCGAATTAGTTTGAAACACAATGACGATATATAGAAGCAAACCAAAATAATTTATAGTATTTTTATACCAACCATAATTAGTCATCCTATATTTTTATTATCAAATGATTCAAAAATCATCTTTTTGATTAATATGTAACATAATTTGAAAATATCTCTATATTAATATCGAACTTCGTAAATGCCCCAAAGACAATTCAACAGTTTTTTATAAATTTTAATAATAAATATGTAATAACAAATGATATTAGTAGTACATTTAATAAAATTTAAAACAGACTTTTAAAAAAGTAATTAAAATTGTGGAATTATATTTTACGAAATTTAATATATAAAAATTTAATGTAAATGTTAATAACATATGATATTAATTTAAACAATTCTTCCTCCCACTCTTTATATTTATAATAATAATAATAAATAGTAATATTGGTTAATGAATATTGTAAATAAGAATGGATTGTCTTGTGAGTCCCATAAGTAATACTGCAGGTGTTTTTACACTTTAGAAAATCATAATTATTATTTTTTTACAATACAACTTAATGTTTAATCATAATAATTTATGTTATCATTGTTTATATAGAATTTCAAGTGATTGTGATTTTTTTAAAATGGCTTAGAAAAAAATTAATGAAATATCAATACACAAATGAGGGCCCAATCAAATAGCAAATAAACAGTAATAAATAACTAGCGTCAACAGAAATTCAAAGTGAAACATTAAAAAATAAATACTAACATTTTGATCTAGCTCGACATTCGACCAGATATGGGGACATTCGCTGAGAAAAACTTCTAGCTTGAAAGGCGAAGTTTAAGAAGGATGGCCAAAAATTATATAAAAAAATAGGAATTTATTAAAATATAGATTAAATCAAAAAATTGCGGAAAAAATCTATAAGAAAAAAACTTAAGAATAAAAATATGTAGGAATAAAAGTGTTCAGAAAATTATTCTCTGTTTTAAAAATAAAACTACCAAAATATTAAAGACCAAGAATTAATTTTATCTTTTTAATTGTGCATGTATATGCAGTACGACAATAAGATTTAAGGGGAGTAAAAAATTTGTCACTGTGGAACCCAGCAAGTCTGCCTGGAACTCGAGCCTATAAATTTATAAATCGTGCAGTGCTGGTTTAGAATTTTTTTAAAATCAGGTTTTTCGAGTCGTTAAAAAATAGAAAATGATGTTTTTTTTTCTTTCCCCAAGATAAAATAAATATTTCGAGAATTAAGCGATAATTGACTTTTATTCCCTTTGATTTTATAAAAATGCGTTTAATATACTTTTGCAATAAAAAATTTCACAAATTTGAATAAAAATCGTATTATTGTATCTTGTGATTAAACAATAAAACTGCAAAATCCCCATATGATCAGGAAAGGAAATAAAGAAAAAAAGAGAAAAATATTCGTGAAAGTACCATCACCTAATGGTGAACAACGCATTGAAAAATTGTTAAAGCACCTTAGAGAAAGATATTCAAACCTCAAATTTGGAAGATATAAGAAAATAAAATAATTTCCCAAAGGGAATCCGAAATATTTACTTTATTCAATTCAAACATTTTCACAATTAAAACCATATATTACGAATATATTTTATATAACAAATATAGAAATAGTTAATATAACAAATTATTAATCAGGGCTGTGAATCCTAATGTTTAACCAGAACCCTTCATACTATTTTTTTTTAAATTTCAATTTCAAATATTTAAAACTTTTGGAAAATATATTAAAATTTATATTATAGGAATAAAAAAAATTAAAAAAATTAAATTAAAAATTATTTAAAATAAAATATTTAAAAAACAAGGAGATAGGGGGGAGGGATTTAAAAGATGTCAGGCAGAGCCGAGGATGGAAATAAAATTAGATCTACATTCTCGAGAGATATTCTTTGTCTAAGATATAAATGTTATTTAGGATCTCCAGTAATTGTTATTAGTTTTTTACCTAAAGTTTTTAAAAATAAAATCGCTTCCTCTTCAATTCTCACTAATGTACCTTTAATTTTTAATTTTTATTCTTTATTTTTTTTTTATTTTTTTAAATTAAAAAAAAATTTAAACAGTATATTAAAAATGATATATTAAAAAAATGAGATGTAAAATATTTTTTTATTTCCTGTATATTATTTTTGTTTGATTTTACTATTTTTGTGAAATTTTTTTATATATTTTTAATAAGGGATTCGTTGTTTATATGATTGGTTAATTTCATTCTTACACAAATAGATAATTTTTAGATATTAAAATTTTTTTTTAAAGTATCGAAAGATTCTGACAGGATCTAAAGGCAAACTATAATAGTACTAGAGAATGCATTTTATAGAGAAAACAATTATACAAAATTCATTTATAGAGTATTGTTTTATATAGAGTATGTAATTTTATAGAGAATGTCCTTTATAGAGGATGACTTTAAGGAATATAATTTTATAGAGAATGTCCTTTATAGAGAATGATTTTAAAGAGATTTTTGTAGATCATTATTTTATAGAGAAGAATTTTATATGGGACAATTATAGAGTTCTAAAAATTTATATGGGATTTGAAAAATATATAAAAATCAACATCATAATAATACAATTCAGTTAATTAGTTGTATTTTTTGGATGACTTTATCTGTTTAACAATTGTTTTTTTGTAAAATCTTTTTAGTTCATATCTAGGTTTAGCTTGATTATTAACTCACCTTTAACTAAATCTATCAGCTAATTCCAAATCTGAAACGAGTTGTTATTTGAGTTGCTAAAAAGTAATTAGACCTAAGGATAGCTATTTAAAAGCCTTTTTCGAAAATGTGGATGATTTTTAAAGTTATTTCTAAATTTAAATTAAAAAAATAAAAGTGTAATGGAGCTTATGGCGATACATTTATTATGGCGATACATTTATTCTAATTAATTTTAAAAAAATGTAAGTTTATTAACACTTATGGCGATACACTAATTTATTTATCTTTTTTGAAAAAAAAACTCTCCCTTTGTTTTTTTAGTCAAATATTTAATTAAATATATACAAAATTTACAAAAGTGACAGGTTCATTTTATAAATGAGTATAGATTTTTAAAATACACAATATGCCAACTAATAGGTCAAGCAAGAGTTGGCATGTCGGTAAATTGACCGGTCAAATAAATACGGTCAAATTCTCTAAAATATTATTGGCGAATAAATATTTTGATATAACTAGTATGCATTAAAAGCATATTAAACAATCTTATTAGGTTACAATTTATTTAAAAATATTGTATTTTGAAGAATCTTTTTAATTATAACTTTACATTTAAATTTAAAAAATTTTATAATATAATAACAAAAGAATTTTTTTTATTACTAAAATAAATAAATATAATAATTTAGCTAAGTCATGGTTTATTTTTTAATAAATCTAAATTTTATTTAATATTCATCCGGTATACCTGCAAAAAAACGAATCGAATAATTGGAATTATTCGTATTCGTACGAATAATAAAATGATTATTTGATTCGTTGAATATTCGATTCAATTCGAAAATTTTATCTAACCATAAATTAAAAAAGATAGAATATTAAATTTATTTTGTAAAATTTAACTATGGATAAGAGACAAACAAATTTTATTAGTAAGATAATATAGAAGCATATATATATATAGAATTTTTATATATAAGTAAAATCAATATAATATTCATATCATGTAGAAGACAAATATACCAACAACAAATTTTTTAAACAAAAAGTTTTTGCAAAAAGGAAAATTTATGATTTCTCTTCAAACGACGGAGAAATATCTGGTTCGCCCGTTATTCTTGACGGGATGGCTACAGGTTTATTATAATTGTATATGTGTTATAAATTGCATATAAAAATAAATACTTTCTTCGATTATCATAAAACAATTTTCGGAAGTTAATTTTATATTATGAAGTTATTCGAATTAAAACAGCCGATAACAATAATTTTTGAAATATAAAATGTTTTTTCATTATTCCACTAGGAAATTTTATTAAATAGGAATAATTGCAAATAATTCGTAATAATATATGATTATTTTTCAATATTATTATTTTAATCGAATAATCTCGAATAATTTGATCGAATAATAGATAAAAAATTATTCGACGAATAATATATTTTCCTTATTCGAATTCGATTCGAAATTTTGAATCGAATAATTGTGTTATTCGTATCGTAAAATACGAATAGAATCGAGTCGAATATCGAATAACAAATAATTCGTTTTAGGTATACATCAGAGTATAAATTATATAAATTCTCATTTATTTTACTTCCACTTGCTACATTTGAATTCATAAATTAATTTTCTGTTTAGTTATTGTCAGATTTACAAAATAATTTTATCAATTTTGGTAAAAAGTTATATATTATATTTTATATAATGTGCCAAATTATTGAAATAATTGTTGATAAAAGGAACTTGGATCTCAATCGATAAAAGACAGCAAAAATTAATGACTTTACATAACTTGTGATTTACTAATATTATGTTTTTTTTCAATATTTGTGATTTTTAATAAATTTAATATAATTGAGAATTTAAAAAAAAATAATTAGATTTTAACTTTACAAAAATCAAAATCTTTTATAGTTAAATTTTAATATATTCGGGATTATAATTAAACAAAGCATCAAGTTTGGAAACCCTTCTAATATTAGTAAATCGTATGAATGTATATAAAATATTATAAATGACAATTCTAAATGTCCAAATTTCTATATCTTATGAAGTTTTGTAAATTGAAAAACGATTTTTTTACTTCAAAATTTAATAGCATGTAAAAAAAATACTAGGATTCCTCTTTACATATTATATATATGTGAAAAATGCTTGAAAATGTTTTTCAATCGAAAATAAAAATAAACACTTTAAGATGTTTTCTACGTCAAGTTTATAGCCTATTTCTTCTAATAAATGCTTTTCAAGCGAAAATAATAAAAAACTTTTTTTTAATCGTCAAATATTTATAGGCCTAGTATTAGTAAATATTTAGTATGAATGTATATAGAATATAATGAATGACAATTCTAAATGTCCAAATATCTATCATACAGTAAATTGAAAAAAGATTTTTTTTACTTCAAAATTCAATAGCATTTTAAAAAAATAGGTTTCGTCTGTGCACATTATATATGTGAAACATCCTATGTTTTCCAATCGAAAATAAAAATTAACACT